AGCAAGACCAAGTACTGATTTTGCCCCAGATCCCTAAGTGGCCCCCTCAAGGATTGAGCTCAGAACCCTGGGTTTAGCAGGCCAATGCTCAAACCACTGAGCTATCCCTGGTTCACTGGGGCAAGTGGAGGGGTTAGAGGAAGAGAGCAGATGAGACACTTTTGTATGTGTGACAGTGCAGAAGGAGAGATGTTGGAGGGGAAGGGTGAAGGGAAAGGCAAGCCGAGGGGAGGGGGAAGGTCATGTCGTATTTCGTCAACAAAATTGGTGAGATCCTGTGGCAGGAGAAGGGGTGTGTTTGAAGAGTGGGGCCATGTCTGCATTATGGACCTTACAGCGGCACAGCTACATCGCTGCAGCTGCGTCACTGTAAGAGCTCCTATGCAGACGCTCTACGCCGGGGGAAGAGAGCGCTCTCTTGCCGGCATGATTAAACCACCCCCAACGAGCAGCGGTAGCTATGTCAGCTGGAGAGTGTCTCCTGCCAGCATAGTGCTGTCCACACTGGTGTTTTTGTCAGTGAAACTTATGTCAGTAAGGGATGTGTGTTTTCACACCCCGACCCACAAAAGTTTTGTCAACAAAAGTGCTAGTGTAGACAAAGCCTGAGTCAAAGGTGGTGAAAAGGCAGTTGGCATTGCAGCCATAGGAGTCAGTGAAGTTGAAGAAGTAATGTTGTTTAGCTAGGAAGATGGCAGAACTGAAACGGGTGAGAACAGATTTGTAGTGGAGGAAGTCAGCCTGCTCATCCATAAGAGATGCTCTGCAGTGTGAGAGCGGGCACAGAGGAAACAGATGTTGGGGGTGAGCCAAGGTTGGGGATTGGCAAGGTGGACCTTGTGATGAGAGAGAGGGTCGAAAGAATCAAGGGTGGAGGTGAGTGAAGCCTGGAGGGAATCAACAATCCTATGAAGGGAGGAGAGGGCTGAGAGCAAAGGAGAAGCGCTGGTGGGCTGGAGGCAAACAGAAAAGGCGAGTGCCAGGGCGGGAGGGCAGGGCTGATGGGTGGTGCTGTAAGAGAGCTGGTGGTGGTCAGAGAGAGGGAACACAACAGTTAGAAAGAGCAGTGCTTGGTGAAGACTGAGTCAAGTGAATGGCCCTTTTGGTGAGTGCAAGAGTTGCACCAGGGCTGCAGGTTGAATGAAGGGTAAGGAAATGTGCAGCTGAGAGGTTGGATGGGTTATCAACATGGACGTTGAAGTCACTGAGGATGAATGTGGGAGATTGCCAGGAGAGGAAGGAGAGCCAGAGGGAGGCTGATGGGGAGGAGCGAAGTTGATGGTAGATGAGAGCACAGTGGCATGGGAGAGGAGAGGAGAGAAGAGGCACATGCAGTGCTGTTCAAGGTAGGGGAGGAAGGAGAGGATGGAAGCTGTAGGAGCAGGAGAAGAGAGGTCCAACACTTCCTACGATCTGATCCAGGGTGGGAACTGTAAGAGAAGGAGGGGCCTCATAAGAGGGCAGCTGCAAAGGCTGGATGAGACGAAGGGATCCAGGTCTCTGTGAGAACCAGGAGCTGGTAGGAGGGAGATATGAAGAGTTTGTGGATGGCTGTGATCTTTTTAGAAATGGTGTGGTGTTCCAAAGAGAGAGAGGGTAGGGCATGGGAGTGGAGGAGAATAGGTATGAGGTTGGGAATGGTGCCATGAGGGGCCAGAAGTGATGGTGGATGTGTGTGGGAGGTGGAGCGGGTAGGGATGGAGGGAGGACCAGGGCTGGTGCAAATGTCAGCAGAGGTGAGGAGGAGGAGGAGGTCGTAGAGAAGGATGTGGATGTGGGATCTGGATTTGTGGTGGTGGGAGGAGTGGTAGATTGGAATGGGATGAGTAGAGCTGGTGGGAACCGTAGAGGGGGGATGGTAACCAGGATGGGAAGATGGACCCGGTGGGGGGGAAGGGAGGAGGATGGAGAAGGATGGTTGCTCTGAGACAGGAAGGGTGTGGTGAGAGCCATGCCTGTAAAAAGACTGTGTCATGATCTGCTTTCCCAATCAGCATTCCCTTCCCATTGTTTGCTCTCTCCCACCCTCCTTGGCGTATTATTATTCTCTTTGTGGTTTACATTGGTAAATTATTGGGGCAGGGACCTAGTCCAACTGTGTTTCATAAATAATTTTGTGCAACTCTGCTACTGTGTAAGTAACATATAGTAGCCGAAATCCTAGGGTGCTTTTTGTAAGAGTCCGGGGTTTGACCCAGCTTCCTAGGCTGCAGATACTCACCATCTGTTAGGTGGCATGCTGTGCCCCAGTTGTCTGCCACCCTCCATCCCAAAGGATGTCCGTGAGATGGCTGTATGTCGGTATGAAACACTTCGAAATGAAAGGCAGTAGTCAACTCTCTTTGTGGGTCTAGGTACTTGTATGACCCTAACCACCGCAGTGTCTGAGCACCAGCCACAAATTAAAAATGGCAGATGAAACATGGGAGCCTACAGGTTCCATGGCCACTGGAGATTACAAGTGGTCAGTGTGAGACCAAAGGCAGCGGGTGAGGGAAAGAGGCTGGTACCTGAGTCTGAGGTGGGTACCTAAGGGGGTCAGGTCGAGTGGTGCTTAGGAAATCCAGGAGAGACCAGCTGCCTGTGAGCTGCAAGAGACTGAGTTCCTGGCCGAAGGGAAATGGGGCTGTGACAGAAGAAACCCCGGGCATTTTATCTCCAGCATGTTTCTCTCCTGGAAGAATGGTATTGCTCTATCTGCTAAGGGGAAGTGGGGCGATGCATATATTTGTATCTGGTAACCTCTGTGCATTTCTGAGGCTGAGGAGAGCACTAGGCCTTGTCCTAACTCCTCTCTTTCCCGCTTTCTGCAGAGGGAGGAGAAGCAGCTCGAATTGTCCCTGGAGGCGCTTATTAGCCAGGTGGCTGACCTGAAGAATTCCTTGGTCAGCTTCATCTATAAGCTAGAGAATGAGTATGACCGGCTCACCTGGTAAGAGGGTGTGCATGTTTGCGAGTGCGGGGTGTCATGGCTAATCTGTCCTGTTGTGCAAGATGTGCTCTACATTCTGCTTGCTGGGGTTCACAGAGACCTTATTTCCAGCTGCTAAATCCCATGTAAAGAATCCCCACCCAAAAAATCTTTTCTTAATATTTACTTTTCATGTTAGCAATTGCTGGTGTTGCCACATGACTGTCAGGTGATTTTGGAGGGGAGGTGCCCACGCACTGGGTTTGGCAGATGATCTTCTGAACAAAGAAGCAGCCACAAGCCTTGTAGAAGGAGTGCAAACTACAGAGGTGCCTGCTCCTTGTGTTGGTTCCTGAGCAAAGTGTGCTACGGAACCAGTCAGGAATGGAGTAAGCAGGGACCCCCCCCTTGCTCTGTATAGATTCTAAGGCCAGAAGGAACCACTGTGATCATCTACTCAACCCTCTTATATAGTACAGGCCATAGAACTTCTAGGGAATGTAGGGATGGTCGTGCACGATATTCTTCACTCTAGAAAGGGTCTGGTTCTGCCATCTGATCTAATGTGGGTGGTTTTCTTGCTTGTTAGTCCAGTGTTGCAATTGATTTCTAAATCTCAGTTTGGGTCTTTGTCCTAGGGTTTTTATGCAGCACCTATCACCACAGTACTGAAGTGTTTGAGGGAGACACATCTCTCCCTATATGCTGTCATGACTTTTCAAAGGTTTGGTCTTTGCCCAGAGATTAACTTCATAGGAGAGTTTGAGCACAATCCTCTCTGGTGTTTCTGAGGTCACAGAGTGTGAACTCCCCACTTTTCCCACTTCTAAAAATGGCCACATTTTACACATTCAGATGCCATGGTGATGGGCACGGTGTAAGACCCTAGAAAGAATAGAATTACCCTACACAGTTCAGTAGTGCATATGCTCTGAAATGTGACCTTGTCTTGTGAGTTAGTCCTTATGGAAAGGAATGTCCACCCCCAAGGAAAGGAAGGAGCATTTCCATATATAGGACTCAATTAATAAAGAATTAAAGGAAGGCAATGTAACTGATTCCAATGAACATGGGTTTATGGAAAATAGATCCTGTCAAACTAACTTAACATCTCTATTTGATGAGATTGCAAGTTTGGTTGATAAAGGGATTTGTGTTGACGTAATATAAATAGACTTCTGTGAAGTGTTTGACTTGGTACTGCACACCATTTTGCCCGGAAAAAAAACAAAACAAAAAACTAGAAGGATATAAAATGTACGTGGCATACATAGAATGGGTTAAAAACTAGCTAACTGGTCTCAAAAGGTAATTGTAATGATCATCAAGTGGATGTGTTTCCAGTGGTGTCTCGCAGGGATTTGTTACGCTGTTTAACATTTGTATCTGTGAGCTGGAGGAAAGCACAACATCATCACTGATAAAATTTGCATATGACACCAAAATTAGGGGAAGTTGTAAATAATGAAGAGGACAGGTCACTGATTCAGAGTGATTTGGATCTCCTGGTTAAGCTGGGCGCAAACAAGGAATGTGTGTTTTAATACAGCTAAATGGATACATCTGGGAACGGAACGTAGGCCATACTTACAGAACGGGGGACTCTATCCTAGGAAGCTGTGACTCTGAAAATTTTTTGGCAGTCGTGGTGGATAAGCATTTGAACATGAGCTCCCAGTACTGTGGCCAAAAGAGCTAATGTTATCCTGGGATGAATAAACAGGGGAGTCTTAAATAGGAGTAAAAGAGTTTATTTTTCCTCTATATTTTTCACTGTTGTGGCCGCTGCTGGAATACTATGTCTAGTTCTAGTGCCCACAATTCAAGAAAGATGTTGATAAATTGGAGAGGGGTCAGAGAAGAGCCACAAGAATGAATAAAGGATTAGAAAACCTGCCTTATAGTGATAAACTAAAATAGCTCAATCTATTTACCTTAACAAAGAGAAGGTTAAGGACTGATTTACAGACTATAAGTACGATACCTACATGGGGAAAAAATATTTAATAATGGGCTCTTCAGTCTAGCTGAGAAAGGTCTAACACGATCCAATGGCTGATACAATCTAGACATATTCAGACTGGAAATAAGGTGTAAATTTTTGACAGTGAGAGTATTTAATCGTTGAAAAAAATTACCAAACGTCTCGGTCAATTCTCTGTCACTGGCAATTTTTAAATCGAGATTGAATGTTTATCTAGAAGATGTGCTCTAGGAATTATTTTGGGGCAGTTTTCTGGCCTGTGCTGTACAGGAGGTCAGACTAGATGATCACAATGGTCCTTTCTGGCCTTGGAATTTGTGAATCTATGAATGAATATGCAAAGGCACAGACCGGTGGATCTGGTCAGGCTTCTCAGCATTCTCAGATCTGAAAGTTCACTGAAAGGAAAGATCCAGCTGGATTTTATCCCTGCCTAGAGATGGCTTTCAGATCTGTCTGCCCATACCACCAGCAGTCATCCTCCATAGGGGTTCTAGCAAAGGCAATGTACGAGGCCTTGTATGATCTATCCTCAGTTCTGAGCTGCATCCTTGGTTCGGCACTGGCCTGCAGCTCCTTGGTACCAAACTGAGGCAGGTACAATTCCAAGGGAGACTGGGATCGTCGTTAAATCGGGAACTTCAGCGGAGCCTTGAGCTCCTTAATCGCAGCCAGGGACAGAATCCCACTGAGATCTGAGAGAGACCAGATCCATCTCATTCTTTTACTGCTCCTGATTAGGGCCACGATATCTTTCTCTGTATCTGACCCAGGCCATCCCCCCAGCCCCACCCTATGTGTGGCAGTAAAAATTGTAGTTGTTGCTTTGAATCTTTGTCCATGTGGATCTTACATGATGCGCTTGGGCCTCGTGCATGAAACTGTGTGCGTGGCTCCCCAAGCACACCTTGAGTGGGATCCACTTGGAGAAGACCTCTTGAAAACCCACATTTACGATACGATAAGTAAATTGTTTGTTCCACATTTCTTGGTCTTGCCAGCTATGCCACCTGACCCCTGCAAAAACATAGCTCTTGCATTTGTTGTTTGACGTTGCTGTGCATTTGCCTAGAGGTTTTTGATGTCAATCACATAATGACATTCACCTTCTGAAGGACATTCAGGACAAAATGGCTGAGCTGCTAACTAAACTATGCAGTCTCTCTTTAATGTCAGCTACTACAGTGAAGCATTGGAGAGAGTCACTGTTTATACACAGCATTGTAAAAGGCCTGCAGAATTGTCAGAACCTCCCTGATGATTTTCCAAGAAATCAAAGGAAGTTGAAGGGGGCTTTGCTGATGGTATTTATTAAGCAAACTTCCCACCTGAAACATTCTCTACTTCGTTGGCTCTTAATCTCAACAGCCAAACCATGAGCACGTTCTCTACTCCTAGTGCCAGGTGCTGGGTAGAAGTTAAAGGGTGTCTCAGGCACTGCCATACGGGTCACAATGGGAAATGAGCGATGAGGAAAACTGCATCTCTTTCTGTGCATGTAATTTAAAACCTACAGGCATCTCCTCCCCCTTTTCCCTTCCAGTGGTGCTGGGAATGGCACCACCCATGGCATCATACAGGGGGAGGGGGAGTTATTAGTCCCTGCTTTGAGGCAGACTTCTTTCACAAATACCAGAGACCACCCTTCCTCCCCCAGCCTGCTCTGCCCCTGGGTCTGGGGGTCTTGCAGAGACGAGTGGATGACGAGCTGCGGCTGAGCTGTGAAAGAGCTCTCTCTGTCTCCTGCATCCGTTCCCTGGCCTCACTCATCGCCTTTCCCTTCCCAGGCCCTCAGTACTGGACAGTTTTGCACTGCTCTCAGGCCAGTTGAACACGCTGAACAAAGTGCTGAAGCATGAGAAGACGCCCCTAATGCGCAACCAGGTCATCATCCCCCTGGTGCTATCTCCAGACCGTGATGAGGAGATCATGGTAAGAACCTGGCAGCTCTGCTCTGCTGAGAGATGCCCATGGAGCGCTGGAATGTGCTTCAGGCACTAGCTCCAACTCACCTACAACCTCCTAATGCTTAACACACACAGCCTTTCCACAGAAGGAAGAGGGGAATGAACACTTTGGGGGAGGGGTAGCTCATCCCAGAGCTGCTGTGTGGAGAGGTTTCACCTGCGAACTTGCACTTTGGTACAGTCTATATTCCTTGTTCCTCTTTGTGAAAATGCAGTCACCGTGCAGCCAAGGCCCCCAGAAAGAGATCCCCTGTACTGACAGGCCTCCCCACTGACTGCCTCTTGCACCGTGTCCTCGGCTAACTGACCAACAGGGAAGTAAATTCCACAGTCCAAGACACGCCACTAAGAACTCCCAGGCCCCCCGATATTGAAATGTGGGGGCTGTTAGCACAAGCATCCCAGCTAAACGGGCAGTCATGGCAGGAATCGCCTTGGGAGAGAAGAGGGATCTCGGGTAGCCCCTAGAATGTTTGGATACCATGAGGACAGGCGTAGTGTAAGAACCTAATTAGATAATTAGATAGGACCCAAACCTTTTAATGCTCTGTAGATCAAAATCCCTCAACAGCAAATTGTTAGCAGGGCTCTAGCTTCCTAGCCAGTGTTCTTTGCTCCAGTTGTGTGACTGCTGTGCTGGAGGGTTGGGCTCTGAGCACAGATTCTCCAATTGTTCCAGCGACAGACAGAAGGGCGTGTGCCAGTCTTCAGCCATGAGGTGGTGCCGGACCACCTCCGTACCAAGCCCGACCCTGAGGTGGAGGAGCAGGAGAAGCAGCTGATCACAGATGCAACTCGAATCAGCTCTGATGTGGCACAGGTAGGGGAGGAACAGCTAGGTGCTGCACCCACCTTCAACCCAGAGAACAGGCGCAGGCTCCCCATTTCTCTGTCTCGCTCCTGAGTTGCTACATCCTGCCATTCTGTCCTGGTTGCAATTTGCTTTTCTTCTAGGCCCTTCTCCCTTTCCCCTTCTGTGATTTCTCCAGCTGCCCCAGACCATAGGGCTCCACCTCCTCCTAAAGTGACAGCACTGTAACCACTTCCCATTCTGTAGGAATTGCTGTTTGATCAGCAGAGATGAGGAGTACACAGTCGTTCACATGGCTGTTCCCGGCCAACCTTTTATTGGACCCAGGCTCCCTAAATGCCTGCACTCAGTCACGCAGCTGCTGGGAAAGGTTTTACACACTAACCTCGCTGTCCTGTACCATGCTGGAGATGTCCTTGCATTTTCTCATTATTTTCACTTTGCAGAAACAGATCCAGAGCCTGAACAAAATGTGCTCAAATCTGCTGGAGAAAATCAGCAAGGAGGAGCGAGAGTCTGAGAGTGGAGGTATGGCACTGGGGTGGAGGTGGGGTACAGAGTCCAAGGGGAAGGCTTGAGAGGCCAAGTCGAACACAAACCATAGAGCATGGGGATAGCAGAAGGGCCTTATGGGAGAAGAGTTCGGGGTGGGCGGAGGGAGGAGAGGCTGAGCCAGGAGACCCATTTTTTAGAAAGGAATCCAGACGGCGTGAGATGGGTTTCCTTTGTGCCAGGCATTAGGTATTCTGTGCTTTAGGGAAATCTAATTGATCCAAACTAGCATCATTCAGGTGAGTTCTGATCTTATCAGGAATGTCATTCTGGCCATCTCTGCAGCTTCACTTTACATCCCGCTACGTGACCCTAAATGCTGCTCCTGGAGTTTGCCAACACAGTATCTTAATCAGCATAATTTAATTAGAATGACCATGCAAATACAGAAGAAAACAAGAAACCCCTTAGCCATGTTCTGAATGAGTCGAGAATGTGCCAGCTGGTAGCTTTGCCCTTGGGTTGTTCGTGCCCTGTGATTAAAGGTGTGTTTCAAGACGTGCAGCAGCCTGCTCTGTCTCACTTTGTGACACAGTGTTGAGCACCCTTGCATTTTATCTCCCGCCATGCTTCTGTCTGCATAAACAGCACTGCTCCATGCAGGCTGCTAGTTCTTGTTTTTTCCATGCTGATGTTGTGAGTGGTGCTGTCCAAGATCCAAAATATAGGTTTTCTCTGCTTCAGAGGGCTTGTCATCTAACCAAGACAGACGTGTAGCAGACAGGACACCCTGGGAAGCCCAGAATGTAGGGTGGGGGTGAGGGGGGGGCTAAGGTATTTGCTTTGCTGTTATCGACTCGTTATTAGGGGCTGTCACATTTTGGGGTTCCACCCAGGCCAGGGAGAGGCCCTGTTACTCTGCTCTGCTGCTGTGACTCTCAGCCTGCAGCCACCAGACAAGCATGCAGCCACCAGACAAGCCTGCAGCCACCAGACAAGCATGCAGTGCCCCGAGTGTGTGTGCTCTGCAGCCCTGATTCAGCGATTGACTCCAGCAGCCCCCACCCTGGTCTTCCCCGGCCTTGACCTCAACACCCCCCCGAGCCCCAAAGCACCCCAAAACCGTCTGGCCTGAATGCCCCAGCCCACTCTGGGGACACGTTTGTTGCTCCTCTAAAGAGACAAAATCGCCGTTCGCTGCTTTAACTGGAGTTAACAATCACTTCAGCTCAGACGCAGCACTAGATTGGTTTAGATAAAAGGGAAACAAAAGTATTAGCACAAAGAGACAGCTCAACCCAGCCATCTCATTTCCTTCCAAGTGCAGCACTGGGACGGATATGGACATTCTCCGGATCTTGTGGATCTGTAATAGCTTTGATAAGCGCCTTTATTCTCTTAGGATAGTCAGTCAGTTTAGTTTGTTAGCCAGTAGTTCATAGTAAATAGCATTAGTCTAGGTTTTAGTGTCTAGTGACAGTACCAGTGTCCGTGGTGGGGTCAAAGAAGCGTGGCTTTAAAAGATGTGTGTTATGTTCCATGGTCTGCCCCTAGCTTTGGATGCCCACACCAGGTGTTTCAAATGCCTAGAGAAAAGACACCGTCCTTCCTGTTCTCTAAGGTGCCACAAGTACTCCTGTTCTTCCTGTTATGCTGTCTGTCGCACATTCACTCCCCATGTCCAGCAGGAGAGACAAAAGATTTCAAGCCCTCTTATTACAAGAAGTTTTGACTGTTACCCCCGATTCCAAAGGGGTATCAGAATCATCTGAGGGAAAAAACAGGTGGCCTAAATCAGCCCCAGGCATTTCTGGATTGAGGAAGTCAATTACGCCGAAGGCATCAGCCTCTGCACTGAGCTCTAGTTCCAAGGCAACCGAGCATTCAGTAGCTAAACATTCAGACCCCATTGCCAGAAAGGTACAGCCCTCTACTGAGACCCTTCAGGACAGAGGACTTAAACCCCCTGACATCATGTCAGACCTGGGGACATCAGTTCAAGCAAACAGAAAGCCAAGATGAAACGTACCTCGGAGCTGGAAAAGTTTTCCCATTTCAGGTTATTCATCAGATCCCTTGGTTTGTGAATTCAGTGTGGGTCCAACGTTGGCTAAGGATCCGCAGGCTAAAAACATAATAGCCCTGTATCTTACCAATGTAAAGTATCCAAAGAATCCAAAATATCCATCTAAATTGAGCACTTCATCTCTTCTGGTTCTTTCTATCATGGTGTAGTCCTAAGTGGAGCACAGAATCTGGTCCAAGAGGTGCATATAGCTGGGCCGCTTGGTAATAGTGACCATAATATAATTAAATTTAACATCCCTGTGGCGGGGAAAACACCACAGCAGCCCAACACTGGAGCATTTAATTTCAGAAAGGGGAACTACACAGTAAGAGGAAGTTAAACTGAAATTGAAAGATACAGTGCTAAAAGTGAAATCCCTGTAAGCTGCATGGACACTTCTTAAAGACACCATATTAGAGGCTCAGCTTAAATGTATACCCCAAATTACAGAACATAGTAAGAGAACAAAAAAAGTGCCACTGTGGCTAAACAACAAAGTAAAAGGACAATAAGGCCATCACGGAGAAACTAAATTAATTTTTTGCATCGGTCTTCATGAAGATCATCTGACTTCTTAGCTCCACCTCCGAAGACACCTATAGGGTCTCCAAGAAAGACTAATTTAATCTTTCTCTCTGCTTCAGATTCCGACCTCAGTTGTATCTCACATAGTCTTTGTCATGCTGCCTGGAGTGGCTCACAACCTAAGTTCCCTGTAAGTTGCGCGGCCATGCAGCTGGCTATTTAGGGACGCACAGATCCCCCAGTCCAGCCCCTCCGGAGCTGCTGGAGAAAGGAGCCCCTTTCCCGGCCCAGGCCTGCCGGAAGTGCCGCGGCCGGGGGGAGGCGCCCCTCCCCTGGTCCAGCCCTGCCCCGCCAGAGCTTCCAGGGAAAGCAGCTCCTCCCCCAGCTCGGCCCAGAGCCCACAGCCTCCACACCCCAACTTTTTGCCCTAGCCACCTCCTGCACCCCAATCCCCTCATTCGCGGCCCCACCCCAGAGCCCACGGCCCCAGCTGGAGCCCTCACCCACCCCACAACCCTCTGCCCCAGCCCTGAGCCCCCTCCCACACTCCGAACCCCTTGGCCCCACCCCTCCACATTAATTTTGTTAAGTGCACCAATATGGAGGTGATGTGTCACACGTCACCTCCATATTGGTGGACATAACAAAATTAATTTCTCACATGGGTGGGAAAAATTAGAGTGACCACTGCTCACAGCCGTAAGTACCTACTGCCTATCTCAGGGCAGATATCCCAAACTGGTGGCATGTTCTGTAATTAGATTTCACCAAGTCGGTACTAAATGTGAACTACTGGATTGCTATTACAGTCTTTCCATGGAGTCTGACAGTCCCCTTGAGACTCTCCAGTCTGTCTTGTTATCCAGACAAACTGGACTTAGTGATAAATGCAAAAAGAACAGGAGTACTTGTGGCACTTAGAGACTAACAAATTTATTAAAGTGCCACAAGTACTCCTGTTCTTTTTGCGGATACAGACTAACACGGCTGCTACTCTGAAACTTAGTGATAAATGGGCATTCATACCAAAAATCACACACTATTCCAGGTTACTCCCAGTCCCAAGAGACCAGTCACTCACCCAGGTCATGTTGCTTTCTAGATGCCTCACTAAAGACAACACTAGTAGCCAGTTCTGTAGTAAACTAACAAAAGGTTTATTAGCTAAGAAAAGGAAATGAGAGTTATTGAGATGTTAAAGCAGGTTAAATCTATGTACAGGTGAATCACAGTCTGGTAATTCCAAATGATGGCAGTGATGTAACAAACTGCCAGTTTCCCAACAGTCTTTTCAAGGTACCAGATTATCTGGGATCCCGGCTTTGCATCCAGAGATGCAGAATTTTTCCCTGAATCCATACTTATAGCTTCTTCTTACAGAAAGCAAACTGACAGGGTCACCACCCAGAGTCTATTTAGGGTCTTGGATCTCTGATTATCACACACAATTACCACTTGCCTTCAAATGCACACTAATTAGTACTTTCCTGCTAAAATTCTTTGTTTGCATTACACAAGGCTTCTTTCTCACTTATTTAGTTGCAGAGGTATGACAATGTAAATGTTTGCCATTACATTATAACAGGATACAGATAAGTGAAAACAATGCATGTAATATCCCATAGTTTCCATGAAGTTTAAATGCCAAATACATATTCATAGTAGTAGATTGTTGACACGCTCCCCAACCTGTTTTGGAGGCGTCCGATGTAACTATTACAGTAAGAGGTGGGGGAACCCACTCTCATCATGGTGAAGCCTGAGCTTCCCTGAGCAGGGTCTGTCAGAGGATTGTAGCATGTGTGCTATGGTTTAGCAGGTATGTACTCAAGTAGAAACAAACATTGGCTTCACTCAGCTGAATTCTCTGTTTTAGCTCTGGTATAATTTCCACTGATCTAAGAAATCAAAGCTCTTAGGATAACCAGTTCCCAGATGGCAGCGCCTTTGTTGTGTGGTTTCCTCTTAACACTGCGAATCTCAATAACCTTTGTAGTTTCCTAAAGACAATATATAAAATTGACTAAATGGGCTAGCCTTTTCCATAAAGAGCTAGTCATGCCCCAGATCACTCAACATATCCCATGAGTGGCAATATGCAGAGTCCATCTTGAAGAACTCCAGTTACAAGTGGGTAACCTTCATTTCTACAAGAGCTCAAGCAGCATCAGCTGCATTCCTTGGGTAAGGTGCCCATAAGTGACATTTTCAGGGCTGCAACCTGGACATGAAAATATGTACCCGAGTCATAGTATTTTCCAAGCATCAAGGGAAGATGCCAGATCTGGACAAGTTGTATTGCAGTTCTTGTTCAAATAGACTCTGAAACCTTCCTCCTTGCTGCACTGCACCTGAAGTGGAATGGACATGAGCAATCACTTGAAGAAGAAAAAAAAAACGTTACTCACCTGTTCTGTAACTATTGTTCTTTGAGCTGTATTGCACACATCTATTCCCTGACCCACCCTCCTCCCTTCTATATTAGACTCCAACTTACTATTTTCCAGTAAGAAGGAACTGAGGGAAGGTCAGGTCAGCTCTACCCCTTTATACCATTGGCTAGCAACACAAGCATGTGGATAGTGCATGCGCTGCTTGACGGGTACTGGTATAAGAAAAAGAGCTCTGGCTTTGGTGCACTTGAACACATGTGCTCACCCTGAAGTGGAATGGACATGTGCAACACATGATGAAAGGCAGCAGTTACTGAACAGGCAAATAACCATTTTATAGCCATTAGGAGTCTCAGGTCTAAAATTACAACAACGAGGAGTACTTGTGGCACCTTATGCCCAAATAAATGTGCTGTGTATATATATTCTGCCTATTACAGATGCATGGAGTGGAAAATACAGTAGGCAGAATATGTACTTTAGAGACTAACAAATTTTGTAGTGGTAATCAGAGTGGCCCATTTCAAACTATACATGAAAAGATGGGAGTTGCCTTACCAAGTGGGGGGGTCAGTTCTAAAGAGACAATTGAATTAAAAGTGGAAGTGAGCTATTATCAATAGGAGGAAAAATCACTTTTGTAGTGGTAATCAGGGTGGCCCATTTCAAACAATTGACAAGAAGGTATGAGTAACAGTAGGGGGAAATTAGCACAGGGAAATTTAGTTTTTATCTCTACGTGAAGTCTACTGTTTTTAAAATCAGATCTTGGGTATTTCCAGTATCCATGGCCAACATGGACTGATCATGCACAGCATGACCCTGTTACCTGAAACCATGTATGTTCAGTTCTTGAAAGTAGGTTTGATTTTCCAACAGCCCGGGTAGGCTGGGCCATCTTATTCCATAGCTACCTGCCAGTCCACAGCATGGCATCTTGGAGAAAGGGGCCTCATGGATGTATCGTAGATGTCCCATAGTGTCTGAGCACCTCACAGTCTTTAGTGAATTTACCATCATACACCCTGGTGCGGCAGGGCAGGGCTATTGTCCCCGTTTTACAGATTGGGAACTGAGGCAAGACTTGCACAAGGTCACACAAGGAGTCCTTGGTGGGTGTAGAGCCTCAGTCTCCTGAGTGCCACTAGCACGCTGGCCCATCCTTATTCTATTTCATCTACTGGTATCCACACCAAGTTCATCGTTACAGACACAGGACAGTAGTGAGCCCAGGTTGTCTCCTGGGAAGTGTCCAATGGGCTTGGCTGTTGAAATGCTCCAGAAATTTTCTCTTTCCCTGCAGGTTTACGGCAAAACAAGCAGACTTTCAACCCTGCTGATACCAATGCACTGGTGGCAGCCGTGGCATTTGGAAAAGGGCTGTCGAACCGGAGGCCTCCAGGCTCAGGGGGACCTGTCCAAGCAAGTCAGCCAGGTGCTGGTGCCATCATAGCAGGGGCTTCAGGCATCCAGCAGGTCCAGATGTCAAGTGCTTCTAGCCAACAGCAGCCAATGCTTGGAGGAGTGCAGATGTCACAGGCAGGCCAGCCAGGTAAATAAGAATGCCTAAGAGTGCTTGGTGTGTGGAGAGAAAAAGAGGGACATCAAGGCCAGCTGTCCTACCCCAAGCACCACGCTCTCTGTGCTGCCAGGGAGAGCAGAGGGATACGCAGTATGGAGCTGGGGAAACCTGGCTTTGATAGAGACCTCTTTGGGGCAAGGTGGGGGCTCAGGACAAGGAGAGCAGAGCATCCGTGGCATGGAGCTGGAGAGACCTGGCTTTGAGGGACACCTCTCCTTAGTAAAATCCAGATATTACAGAACTGTTCACAGATTCATGGTGTTCAGGCTGAAAATGACCATTGTGACCATCTAGTCTGAGCTCCTTTATAGCACAGGCCAGAGACTCCTGTCTCCAGCCCAGTGCCCTGTGGCTGAGCTAGAGCAGATGGTTTAGACAGAAACTCCCTGTCATGAGACACCAGGTGATGGAGAACTTGCGTATGTCCCTTGGGAACACGTTCCAGAGGTTACTTACCCTCACTGTTTGCATCTTATTTCCATTTGATGCTGTTTTCCTAACAGAAGAATTCAGTTTGTCGTGGCTCTGATACTCCCACAACTTTAAACCTGGCTGAATAACCGTACTCACGGAGTTACAATAAGTGCCAGGGTGTGGAGTTGTGGAGGACACCAGGGTGTAGCTGAGTAGACTGCGGTATCTTGGGGATCTAGGTTAACCCACAATACGATCCAAACTGACATAAAATAACTCAGAGCTGGAGTCAACAAAGGGACACAAACGGTGAAACGAACCTATATTCTCTAGTACAAAGGTGGAATCTGGCATTCACTGACAGCTTCCTGCCTAGAGGTGTCCCTCGGTTTCTGGATGAAAGCCTCCTTTTTAAAGGGATCTCCCCCAAAACCATGGTGACTTGTGGTTATTCAGATTGGGGAAATTCCCTCTTGAGGTGATAGCAGGGGATGTCTCAATGTCTCCCCATTAACTATCATCTTTCATCATTATCTGTTCCTGGGCTGGACAATGATGATTATATGGAGGCTCTTGCCTTAGGAGGTACCCTTCCTTGCTGTGAGGTGGAGTTGAAGTTGTAGTACGGGTTATTAGCAAATTTTTCTATAGCTAAAAATACTTAGATTCATAACCAGTCTGTATACCTATTTCATTATGGCCATCACGCTCAGAACATGACAAGCTGTGATGCAAGATGTTACTCAATATACTTTGCATGCTGTATTCGTGTTCTGTAAATCAGTGGCTCACTCCCGTTCTTCCCCCGGGGGTGTCTGGACCTTGATTGTCATATTGGTTACTAGCCAGAAATGCTGAAGTCAGCGGTAAGACGCTCCATGGGCGTGACTCCGAGCAATAGAACGTGAGTGCTGTGAATGCTCAAAGCAGAAAGTGTTACATAGATGCAGACCCTGGCTAAGTTTGGTGTTAGGATCCATTCCAGGCCCATGGATTTGTGATGCATAAGTGTCCTCCAAAAACTCAGCTTTATTCAAAAGACACATTTCTAGCCTTTATGGTTGTGAAGGAATCCTTTGAAATATAACCCAGCATACCCCAGTGCAGTGGTGTCTGCCAGGGTCAGCAAACAGCCTGAAACAATGGCCCAGAGAGGTAGAATGGCCTCCTTTATCTCAGTGGGGTGATAATTATGGACCCTGACAATGACAATGTAAATGTCAGCATTGTTAGCGATTTCATGGTTGGTCCTGTTAGCAGAAACCTCCAGTTAATGTGTTTCTCCAAACGCTCCCACTCCAAGGGTGTGGGGGGCCCAGCTGCCAAAACCTCCACTTCTACCCACAGCTTCTGCAATGAAACGACAATGTAGTGTCAATACAGAGTTCTGTAGCACACAACACTGAATTCAGGGCAGCCCAGAAACCACTGAATTAAATATCATAAGGAAAGCTGAGCTGACTGAATTACTCATGGTCCTATTTAATTCACTAAAAATCTCAATTTTCTTAAATTATTCTTGAAGCTGCCACAGAATCCAGGGATGATGGGAATAACGTCTGGGGAAGGAGGTGTTAGTTGAGGCTAGTGTGGATGTAACTCTGCCTACTAATGAGTTCCTGGATGTGCACTGGTAGTGTTGTTGGAAAATACCTTTGAGCAGCAGCTTTAACCCTAAATTAACATTGAGGAAGACCCAGTGTAGTGTTAGTTGTTAATGCTCTGAGATCCTTGTGAAGTGGCTATAGCGGAGCAAATTATAATGTATGGCTTGGCCAAAATAATGACCAATGGTAGCAAACCTACCTGCCTGCAAACGTGATGAAGGGTGTAACCAGGAAGGAGAGAGGAAGGGTTTATTTAGGATGGGACAGAAGCTGGAACTGGATGACAGAACAAGGAGCAATGGTCTCAAGTTGCAGTGGGGGAGGTCCAGGTTGGATATTAGGAAACACTGTTTCACTAGGAGGGTGGTGAAGCACTGGAATGCGTTACCGAGGGAGGTGGTGGAGTCTCCTTCCTTGGAGGTTTTTAAGGCCCGGCTTGACAAAGCCCTGGCTGGGATGATTTAGTTTGGAATTGGTCCTGCTTTGAGGAGGGGCTTGGATTAGATGACCTCTTGAGGTCCCTTCCAACCCTGATATTCTATGATTCTATGACAGGAGAGGATCACTTGATAATTGCCTTGTCCTGTTCATTCCCTCTGAAGCACCTGGCACTGGCCACTGTTGGCCGACAGGATACTGGGCTAGATGGACCATTATTCTGACCCAGTGTGTCCATTCTTATGTTCTAACCATCCTGCCCTGGAGCCTGGGGTTGGGACTGGATGGCTCCCAATAGGGCTGTTTCTGCACTGATGTTGTGCTGTCCTGCACGTACCCTTTCTCTTATCAAGTGACTGCACGACTCCTTTTTCTTCTCTAGGTAAGATACCCAGTGGCATAAAAACCAACATCAAATCTGCCTCAATGCATCCATACCAGAGATGAGCAGAGAGGAGCCTCGTCCTGGCTGACCACACGACACTAGCATTGTTCCTGCCAATTGCCACTCCAGGATTTCCTTCCATGCCTGTCAGATCCCCTCAAGCCTCCACTCATCATCCTCAGCAGAGAGATTTCTGGGTGGGCTCTCCCCTCCTGTGAGCTCCAGGCTGTCTCCTCCATCTGGTTTTATTCAGTGCTGGAGGGTTTGTGCATAGCTGCTGGTGGCCACGTGCTTGGGGTGGGAGCTCCCCAGACAAGGGAAAGCCTGTCTCCCACCTGGTCTGGCGTGGAGGGGCCCATACTCTTCGTTCATCCAAATGCAGAACCTGAACAGCTTCAGAGAAAACTCTTCTCCTGGCTTCTGTGTAAGGAGGTGCATGAAGGTTGCACTGCCCCCTCCCTTTCCCCTGCCTCCCATTGTTGAATAAAGACCCTGTACTATGCCAAGCGTGACCACTGTTGGCTGTGTGTCAGGTCCCAAGGAGCCTCGCAGCCTGATCCTCATTTCCCTTTGGGAATGGCTGTAGAACAGCTCTGCCTCTAAACATGGCATGGAGCTGGCCATTTATATGGCATCTTGTTCTCTATTGAATACTGATACGGAGGTTGAATCCAGGAGTTGCTGTTGGGTTTCACCTGGACACAGCACTCCCTGCCATGAGCAGCAGAATTTTTATTTACTGTAAAACTCAGAATAGCTATTCCCCAGGCACCAGTCCTAGAATGAAAAAAAATCCATCCAAGGGGAAAATGAGTAACCCTGTACCACCCTTCAAGATGCCATGCTGTGAGGGTCACAGCAGAGGGAGCTGCAGGAACAGAAGCACAGATGTTCTGTTATCTCATGTCTCCACTTGCCCTGATCCCATCCCATCTCCTGATCTCCCTCGCACCAACTTTCACTCTTCTCTGTAATTTCTCACTCTCCTCGTGCTCTTTCCTCTCGCAGTACAAACATGCTTTAGTCTTTCCTATTTTAAAAAACCCTCGCTTGACCCCACTTGTCTCTCCAACTACTGCCCCATCTCCCTTCCATCTACAAAGCTCATTGAACACACTGTCTAAAATAATAGATTATCAAGGCCAGCAGGGACCACTGTTGATCATCTCGTCTGTCCTCCTAACACAAAGTGTAGAGCTTGCTGTCTGGAGTTCCATCCTAGGCCCTCTCCAATCTGGCTTCTGCCCTTACACTCCACTGAAAGCACTCTTGCCATGGTCTCGAATAACCTCTTCCTAGACAAAGCTCCTCAATCTGTCAGCCACCTTTGGCACCATCAACCATGCTCTTCTTTTGGAAATCCTGTCCTCCCTTGGCTTTGGTGATTTTGCCCCTTCCTGGTTCTCCTCCTACGTCTTTAGTCACACATTCAACATGTCCTTTGGAGGGGGATCCTCATCTGCACTCCAACATTATATGGTGGCTCCATATGGCTCTGTCCTTGGTCCTGTTCTCCCTCTACACATCTATACAGGGTAATCTCATCCACAAATACAAGTTCAACTACCAGCTGGATGCTGATGACTCTCAGATCTACCTTTGCTCCAGGCATGTCTCCTTCTGTCCAGACTTAAAATCTTGGCCTGTCTCTGACAGCTCCTCGTGGATGTCTAGCCATCAGCTCAAGCTCAACATGGCTAAAACAGCTCCTGACCTTCCCCCCATGTCCTCCTCACTACCTGCTTACTTGATCACTATGGATTTAGTTGGGAATTGGTCCTGCTTTGAGCAGGGGGTTGGACTAGATGACCTCCTGAGGTCCCTTCCAACCCTGATATTCTATGATTCTGTGACACCACCATCCGCCCGCCTGTCACTTGGGCCCATTACCTGGACATCATCTTTGACTCAAACCCCTGTCTAAGTCCTTGCATCCGGATTCTGCAAGGCCTTTTTCTGTCCACCCAAAGAGCTAAAACTGTCATCCACGTTCTCTTGATTATTGCCACATCTTTCTGTCTGGCCTTGACAAATGCTGTCTTGCCCTGCTTATATCCATTCTGATTTTCAAACACGCATATTCATGCTTTCTCCTATGCTGCCTCTCAGGCTTAGGAGGAGCTCCCCTCATTATCCTCCTATAAATGCCTCCTTAAAGCTCCTTTACCATGAGGCCTACAAAAAAATTAACTAAGGTTAGGCTGTTGGTGTGCTGAGTCCTGTTGTCCCATTGTTTCCTTGTACTCTTCTATCCAATAACAGAGATTCTTCTTCAAGTGCTGGCCTTTCTGTGTATTTCACTGTGGGTACACATGCGCTCCATGCACCCAGAGTTGGGGAATTTTGAAGGCAGTGTCTGCCAGCCTAATATCAACACAGACTTTAGACTTTGTCAAGGTGTAACTAAATTCAGTCACGGCAAGGGCTTACCTGCCAGTGGACAGGTTCCAAGCAATGAATGACCTTATGGATCAGGTCACGAACAACCCTTGAACATCAACCAAAATTTCTCTCTCTTGGCACATACGGCTTCATGCACTTGCATCACATCGTTTGACAGACTCTATCTTGCTGCCTACAGGCATGGCTTCAGACAGTGTACTCATCAAACAAACTGTCCATGAACACAAGAGTAATATTCCCACCATAGTAATCATCTCTACTGTGGTGAAGGATCCCACCAAACATGCATAGGTGTCCCTTCCTTTCCCCCTCACCAGGCACAGTGATCATTACAGATGTCTCCCTCTTAGGCTGGGGTGCCCAGATGGACAGTCATACAGCACAGGACACTTGGACATCCCGAGAGACCAGGATGTATATGAACATTATGGAATTGTGGAAGCCTTTCTCCTGTTCATACAATGTCCCCGTGTCTTGGTAATATCGACTAATATGACAACCATCTTTTACACCAACAAGCAGGGAGCAGTGAGATCCATCCCCGTGTGCAGAAGCAGTCAATCCATGGAACTGGTGCATCAGCAATCAGATCAGGCTTTCGGCAGCTTACCTTGCAGGGAATCAAAATGAGCTGATGGTCACGTTCAGCAGACACTTTGCTATCAACCGTGAGTGGGAGCTACACGACTCCGTGATAAACAGTATTTTTGCTGTATGGAGAACCCCCACCACAGACCTGTTCATCTCTCAAACAACCAGGAAGTGTAACATATAGTGCTCCAGAGGCGCCCTAGGGCTTCATTCGTAGGGTGACACTCTCCTTCTGTGGTCAGATCACCTGAACTAGGCCTTCCCTCCCTTACCACTCCTATCTTGAGTCTTGCGGAAGATTCATCAGGACAAGATACGAGTCATCATCATCGCCCCCAACTAGACCAGACAGTTTTGATTCCCGAGTCTCGTACTCCTGTCATCTTAGTCATCGATCAATATTCAGCCCTTTTCCGATAGCCTGACCTAGGGGAAGGGCAGAATCAAGCATTCCAACCCCGAAGCATTCCATCTCAGGCATGTTTTTTTGGATGGGCATCAACTCTAGAACATTTCTGCTCTGAAGCCATGCAAAGCATCCTTACTAATAGTTGAAAAGATTCCACTAGGAAAGGCTACTTAGCCAAGTGGAAGTGTTTCTCTGTCTGGGCACAACAACAACTTATATCCCCAGAAGCTGCAGGTATTCCCCTTATTCTTGTCCATCTTCTGTCCCTCAAAGCAGCTGGTCTTTCCATCAGCTCTTTATGAGTTGACCTGGCACCAATCAGTGCATACCACCCACCTTCATATGGGAACTCAATTTTTGCTCACCCGCTGACTGCCTGATTCTGGAATGGCTGAGTTAGAACCTTTCTGCCAGTAAGGAACCCTGCTCCTCAATGGGACCTACGCCCTTGTTCTTTCGGTGCTCACAAAGCCGCCCTTGGAACCGCTGTCTACATGTTCCGTGTCTCGCCTGTCTATGACAGTTGCATTCCTGGTAGCCATAACCTCAGCCAGGAGGTGGGTGTAGGATAAGTACAAAATTAAAAAATTAAAGTTAGCTTAAGTTAAGTGATAAGGCCAGGAGGACTAATGTAGGGAGGACGTCTGGTTCAAAGAACAACTAGTGAGATAAAGGGAAGTTTCTAAACAGAAGGCCTCTGACCAATAGGGGAAGCTGTAGATGACTTAAATAAAACGAAGAGAATCTGTCTTTAAATGAGCCAACCCTTCCCTTCCCCAGCCCACA